GGTCCCTCCCAGCCTTGATGGGGACGCCTGTCCCCCGGGGAGAGGACTTGCAGAAATCGGGGTCCCTCCCGGCCTTGATGGGGACGCCTGTCCCCCGGGGAGAGGACTTGCAGAAATCGGGGTCCCTCCCGGCCTTGATGGGGACGCCTGTCCCCCGGGGAGAGGACTTGCAGAAATCGGGGTCCCTCCCGGCCTTGATGGGGACGCCTGTCCCCCGGGGAGAGGACTTGCAGAAATCGGGGTCCCTCCCGGCCTTGATGGGGACGCCTGTCCCCCGGGGAGAGGACTTGCAGAAATCGGGGTCCCTCCCGGCCTTGATGGGGACGCCTGTCCCCCGGGGAGAGGACTTGCAGAAATCGGGGTCCCTCCCGGCCTTGATGGGGACGCCTGTCCCCCGGGGAGAGGACTTGCAGAAATCGGGGTCCCTCCCGGCCTTGATGGGGATGCCTGTCCCCCGGGGAGAGGACTTGCAGAAACAGTTGCTGTCTGCCCGGCAGCCGGGCCTGGCCCTCTCCATGGTGTCAGTTCCCACCCGGGACGGGCCACTCCTCGCTTTGGACAGCAGTATTAGGAGCTTGGAAGGCACGCGGGAGACTTTAATTGCGATGAGGTCCTTATTCAAGGGGGATGTAAATGAAAATCCAGTGAATTTTCCCCCAGTGTTAGTGAGATTGGGTGTGGCGAACGTCTAGGATTCATTTGCATTTACGAAGGTTCCGATAGCTTCCACACGTCCCTAAGACAAGGTTATTCTCAAGCGATGCTAACTTAGAGCCCTAAACACGGTGAGTCAATGTTCCAAACTGGAAGTAAAGTGGTTGTCGTTGGCCGCTTTTCCGTTGCGTTTTTTAAAGCTACTTGCTGATGTTAGGACGCAGGTGATGACAGCCGCTTGTAACCTTGTCAGCGCACCTGGAGAGGTTCTGTTGACTCGACTGAACCAACGGCTTAGGCCCGGAGAGTTGGGGCGTCTGCAGGGCAGTGGCTGTGAGGTGGGCTCTTCCCCTGCAAGCGGCAAGGTGCGGCATGGATCCAAGCGTCGACTCCTGTTGTTATACAGACAAGGACTCGGTGGGCGTGGTGGACAGAGGGGGTCTAGAGGGGACAACGTAAGATCTATGAAGCGAAGGACGGGGAAAAAGCAATAGCCTTCTTCTATATAAAAGGTGATGGACAATTTAAAATTCTATGCGATCAAGAAGTCCTAGAAAGTCCTAAAGGTCTGTGATGACGGCGTCTCAAAGTCATATTCTTACATCTCTCCCCGTGTTTTCTCCTCTCAAAATTTTAGTCATCCTCGGCATGGCCTCTCTTGCAGCAGCATCCGCTCTGCGACGGGGTGACACAGAGGAGTTAGTGGTCACTGGTCCTGAGCCTCCAGTAGGCAGTGTTCCCATACTTTGATTTCTAATCTATGATTAATGAATTCATCTATTTATCTATCTATTTATTTGTTTTTACTAAATAAGCTCTATGCCCTCTGTGGGCCTTGAAGTCACTTCCCCGAGATCAAGAGTCACATGCTCTACCAAGGGAACGAACCAGGCACCCCTGCTAGTACTTTGGGTTCGCTGTTCTCTGACAGTCTGGAGTGGGAACCCCAGAATCTGTTTTGAAGCTATAGTCCTGAAACTTGGAATTTTACTGCAGATTAATTGGTGGGTTTAAGGAAGAGGATCTGGTGCTTTTAGTTTTCACCGGGGAGATTCATAGGTGAACATCAGCAGGTACATTGTAAGACATAATAGTTGCCAATGAAATACTTGCTTATTAACCTCTTTGAAGGAGAGGGAAACATCAGTGGTTTAAAGTTCATTGAAATAGGGTTTGATAACTGAAGGATTTTAGGCCCCAGAAGCTTCTCCATCTCGGGTTGCTGGCTCCCATTGGATTTCAGGAAGGCTGTGGTTGAAGCCCTGAAAATGTTGTATATAAGTGGATTTTTCTTAGGAAAATATCCACAACTCCAGTTAGGTCATTAACCGGGTCTCAAACCCCAAATAGGTTTTAAAACATTTACACCCAGCATACACTGAGTGTAGAGCTTGTTTAATGAAAAATAAATGAATAAATAGGTCAATTAATAATAAATTAAAAACTTAGAAAACTCTGCTTTTCTTCATTTCTGTCTTAGAGTTTAATGTTAAATTTGTTCATTAGATTACTAAGGAAGGTTAGTTAATGATACAGAGAGTTCTGTTTTTCTGCCAGCAACTTGAATTATGGGAAATGATATGAATCATTAGCTAATACTTGTTGAGCTCTTATTCTGTGCTGGACGTTGCTCCAGGTATGTCTGTATTTCTACAAATTATGAACTTATATGCTGGTAGGGACTGTATTGTATTGCTGAGAAAAATCAGAGCACAGCGTCATTAAATAACTTATCCCTTAGCTACATGTAGAGCTAGTTGAGTGCAAGGACTGGGATTTGAACCCGGGCAGGTTTAAGATCACTGGTATTTATGAAGGATAATATTTCCCTAGGAGACTATTTCCCCCAATTTGCTGCTGACAACCAACCGCTACTTCGTTCGGATGCAGCGTTATGATGATAGAAGGTTGGACTTCAAGTAGAGCTGCTCACACGGGACTTGCAGGGTGACATCATTAGTCATATATTTAAGGATTAGCTTGATGATCAACCAATATTCACACGAGTGTCTCTATATGCGTTTGGTTCCTCAGAGGAATTTCTTTTATGGTTCCTGAGTGGAAACATTTTTCTAATTTGCATCATTTTTGGCTGATAAGACGGAGGTACGTGCGGGTTGACCTGTGTCCGAATCCCTCTAGCTACCTATGCATTCATCCGCCCAGGTAGAAAGCTGGGATTCGCGGAGAGAGAACAGAGGCCTTTCCCATTATGCTGCAACCGAGGTGTTGTAGTCGAAGGCTCGAGAAGCTCGTTCAGAGGCTTTTTATGGTATGAGGGTTGGCAAGAAGGCAGCTCTTGCGTTTTATTTTTTTATTATTTTTATTTATTTATCTATTTATTTATTTATTTATTTATTTATTATTATTTATTTTTAACCCTTGCTTTTTATTGGGGGCTGAGGTGGAACCACGCTGAGTGCTTGCTGCCATCCTATTTGAATGGATTGAATAGAAACATTCCATAGGGCGGTTGAGAGAACATTCCAGCTAGTTTTAGCTAGTACTGCAATATATTCACCACTGGCTATTTAATGGTGAATTTTACTAATCGACTCTTATGATTTATGTCTATTTATTATTTTGCTTTATCTTTTTTTTTTTTCAAGTTACCCAGTCCTGGAATCAGAAATAGGAAATAGAAGCTCTTTGGTCTCATTTCAATTCAGTGATGCTATTATCCATACTCATTTTATTATCTGGAGACAGGGTATATGTATGCACACCCTGTGTCTTTCAGTGTTTTATCCCAGTGTGACTCTAGGAGTGTTTTGCGGGTCATATACATATACATATATATGTATATACATTGTACATACATATATATGTGTGTATACACGCACACGTACAATGTATATATATACACATATATAGATGTACAATGTATATATACCTTGTATGTACAATGTATATATGTACAAAATGTATGTTTTGTATATAGACCACATAAAAATAGATTAAAAAGTCTGAATGCCCATGAGCTGATCATGTTCTAACAGTACATGGTTGATTCTTCTCCTGATGCTAAGGTTTCTCCAAGTGCTAACAGACTACAGGAGGGATCAGGAGAGTGACAGGAAAATGTTTTGTTAAATAAAGAAACTGAAACTGAAAATGATCCTACAAGAAGAAAATATGACGGTTGTAAGGTTGGTGAGGGAAGCTCTACTTATCACAATGATACAGGAAAAACGCCCTGTGACACATCCAGTGGTCCCTTGCATCATTTCATTCTCACTGGGCATTTTGCACATACACCTTCTAATAGTTCAAAAAAAAAAAAAAAGGAATACCCCTTGTGCACTGTTAGCTCTGAGCTCTAAAATGTTCATTCTTTAACTGAGTATTTCATAGTTAGGAGTTTTACAATACATTTTTCCCACTTCTGTGCTCTTCCTACTCCTCAGCAACAAAAAGTCTATAAATTTAAATTTATATTTCATATGTGGCATATTTATATTATTTTAAAAAATAATCTTGTTAAAATTATTCTTTGCTATTTTAATATTATTTTATTATTATTATTATTATTTTAAAGATTTTATTCATTTATTCGTGAGAGAGAGAGAGACAGAGAGAGGCAGAGACCCAGGCAGAGGGAGAAGCAGGCTCCATGCAGGGAGCCCGACGTGGGACTCGATCCTGGGACTCCAGGATCACACCCTGGGCTGAAGGCGGCACTAAACCGCTGAGCCACTCGGGCTGCCCAATATTATTATTTTAAGTATTAGTACACAGGTAATCAAAGCAATTCATTAGCTTTCAATGAGTAATTATGAGCCATAAAACTAAACCGTATTGGAAATGTGCATCGTGAATGTAGACATGAGTAGCATTAACATTGATGCCTTCCTGGAAGGTTTCTCTAGTATCAGTTTTCCACATTTGCCCCCTATTTGGCATCCTGGGGAGGCAGGGCACATGGTAAGATTCTGAATGGCAGAGGGATGCGCCTTTCTTTGGTAAAACGGAAGGAGGGTAATTATGAAAGGGGAAGTGGGAAAGGAGAAGGTTACAGAAAATGCTTGCTGTTGGCACATTTCAGGCGTATCCCTTATTAAATCAAGGGTCCCCGTGGACATAGTGCATCTGGAAATTGGTTCCTTTAGAACTCTCTACACCCCTGGGGACCTTGGAGAGATGTGGGCTCCCCGGGGTGGCCGTGATCCACTTTGAGGGCCTCTGACCCCGCGCCGCCGTCGCCCGGCCCTAGGGTGGCCGTAGTGTCAGAACCCAGAGCGTGTGTGAGGGAGGCTGGGGTGCGGGGTGCTGGCCTCTGCGAGGCTTCTCCCCCAGCTTGGGCGGGTCGATGTCCAGGTGGCCTCAGCCTGACGGCTCTCCAGACCCTGGATGCACCTGCAGGCCCTGGACGCACCTGCTGACCCTGGATGCACCTGTGGGCCCTGGATGCACCTGCCGGCCCTAGACATACCTGCTGGCCCTGGATGCACCTGCCGACTCTGGACGCACCTGCTGACCCTGGACGCACCTGCTGACCCTGGACGCACCTGCTGACCCTGGATGCACCTGCGGACCCTGGATGCACCTGCGGGCCCTGGATGCACCTGTGGGCCCTGGATGCACCCGCCGGCCCTAGACATACCTGCTGGCTCTGGATGCAACTGCTGACCCTGGACGCACCTGCCAGCCCTGGACGCACCCGCGGGCACTGGACGCACCTGTTGACCCTAGATGCACCTGCGGGCCCTGGACTCCCGTCGGCCCTGGACGCACCTGCTGCTCCTACACCCCCCTTGCCGTCCTTCCACCTGGCTGAACGTGGCCGCACCCCAGCCACCCCCCCCCCGGGGGAGAATGGTGTTGTTCCCCCAATGGGTGTATTGGGTGCTGTGAGGGCTTTTGTCTCTGTGAATGCAAATGCGCGCTGCGATGTGTCTCCATGGCCACACTTGGAAGGAACCCTTGACAGTGTGAGAGCGGCCGAAGGTAAGTCACATGGCTGGTCTGGGGGGCCTGCAGTGGGGACGCGGCCCGGACACTGCGCGGCTAGGCAGGGGGACACAGGGCAGGTGGAGACCTGATGGAGCAACCACGGTGGGGATCGCGGTGGGCACGGGCACTGGGGGGACTGGTCTGGGGGGATTCACTGAGGAAGGAGCCAGTGGGAGGGGAGGCAGCAGCCTGGCCCCGCCGCAGCCCAGGGTGCCCAGGACTCAGCCCCGCGCCCGGTCGTCTGTCCCCAGTGCTCGCGTCCCTGCCGTGGGCGTGTCGCCCCCTCTGTCCCGTGGCTCTGCGTGGCCCCAGCCGCCCGCTTCCTCGGCCGCGCTCCGCAGGCGAAGTCTCCCGGTCAGTCGTGCCTTCCGCGTGCAGTCCCCTCCCGTGTCCCCAGCCGGGAAGCTGCAGGGCCGGACCCCGTGGTGGGGCTTGGGGTCCGCAGGGCCCAGAACCTTCAGTCCCCGCGGGCCTGCCCCCCTGCACCCCTTTCGGCCTCACCCCTGAGCCCCAAACAGAGGGGTCGGGGGCTCAGTGCCTGGCCCTTCCCGGCTGGCAGGTGGCAGGTGGCAGGTGATGATGGCTCGCTGCCCTGGGGTCTCAGCCGCCCTGTGGGGCTAGGGCCTCTGGTAGGTCCTAGGGAGCTGAGAGGTGAACCCAGTGGTGACGTCCCTGAGCCCCAACCCCTGCGGCAGAGCCGGCCTTTGAGAGCAGGTGTCAGGGCTCCTGAGACTCCCTGCGCAGCACCCCCACCCCTCCTTGCCCTGAGGCCCTTGGCTCTTGGCGTCGCCCACATGGCCACCAGCCAATCTCAGAGGCGCCCTCACCTTTCTGTTGGTCACACCCACATCCTGGCCCACCACCAGGTGGCTGGCTGGGCCCGGGGCCTGTGGCACACCTGGCATCCCCCGGCCCCCAGCCCCCGGCCCCCCGGCCCCCTGGCCCCCCCAGCTGGCTGCAAAATCAAAGGCCCCTCCTTTGAGCCCGTGGTTCTTTTCCAGAAGAACGAGCTTTTGTTGGCAGCTGGCGTAGCCCTTCCTGCTGGGAGTTGGGTCCGTAGGGACCTTTTGGGTGTTTGCTTTTGTTTACCTGCTGGTGAGCTTTTCTTAGTTAAGTTTTCTTCAGTAGCTTGAGGGCTTCCTAGGAAGCCTTCCATTGAGGGAAGGATGGGCCCATGGGACTCTCGGGACACACCCGGCTTTACTTTGGATGCAAGTCAGAAAGCACTGGGACAAGCCCTTACAGGTTTTCCAAGGGCTTTGGTCGCGCTGACCCGGTTTATGAGGCACTACCTTCCTCTCAGGTCTTTTTATTTTATTTTTTTTAAAGATTTTATTCATTTAGTCATGAGAGACACAGAGAGAGAGGCAGAGACCTAGGCAGAGGGAGAAGAAGGCCCCATGCAGGGACCCGATGTGGGACTCGATCTCGGGACCCTGGGGTCACGGCCTCGTCTGAGGTCTTAATGAGGCATCTTCCAGCCACGCACTTGATTTGATCTTTAACCTGAGAGCGCCTTGTGCTATTGGACCTTGAATTTGAACTTCGTCCTAAATGTTTGGGTGCCTGGAGAGGCAAGAGGGATGACAAGTCTTACTTTGCAGTCTGGCAAGTCCAGGGTTGAGGAATTTCCTGTAGACTCCACTTGGACATGTTGGTCCCTCTTTCCCCCCGGCAGTGCCCAGGCAGCTCGATGGGGCCCGCGGCCGCACCGGGAAGCTGCTGGCCGGTCGGCAAGGCCCGAGGCGTGTGTCCTCTCCCCCAGGTTGCAGCAGGGTCGCCCCCGTCGGGCCGGCCCCGGGGCACACCGTGCTCTCCAGCCCCGTAGACACTGCCTCCCGGGGCTTCCCTCCAGGGAGGGCCTGACTGCTGGGTCGCCCGCCACGGGCCGCAAGTCAGCTCAGCGTCGCTGCCTACCTGCTGGGCGACAGGCTCCGCCAGCCTGCGTGCGGGGACACCAGGACCATTCGTTCCGTTCAGGGTGTCGTGGTGAGAAGTTTGGACCAGACACGTGGCAATGGCTTGTCCCCACTCCACGGTGACCGTGGCCGACTCCGGTTGACCAAGGACTGAGCCGGCCGCGGATATGGGGCAGGCCTGTCGCCTGGGGTCCCTCACCCCGCCCCCCGGCGGGCCCTCCATGGGCACCCGCCAGGCTCGTTCATGCAGGGGGTGCTGGTGATGGCGACCGTCCCTGGACACCACAACCACACGCTGTGACCCCGTGAGAACACTATGTCGCACCACTGCTCTGCCCAGAGCCTCCTGCGCCTCCTCATCTCCTTCCATAAAAGCCGACTCCCATTACCAGGGTCCGGGAGGCCCTGAGGGTGCTTCTGTCTCTCATCTTCCCTACGACTCTTCCTTCCCGCCCATCATGCACGCTGCTCTGCTCTGACCTCGGGGTCCTTGAACTTGCTGCCCCCCTAGGCCGCTCCCAGGCACAGCCCGTTCCCCCGCCTCCTGGGCTTGGTTCGGGGCTCACCCCGTTGCAGCGAGGTGGTCCCAACCCGCTCACCTGCTGTGGCCCCCCACCAGCCCCGCGCTTGGACTCTCCTCCGCGCACCTGCGACCGACCGTCCGCCGCGCTGGTGGTCTCTCGCACTGCATCCAGGACTCTTAGGGCCACATGTTGCCATTCATATTTTTATCAGCTTTTGGAAAGGTAACAGTTATGGACTGAATTCTGTGTCCCTCCCCTCGCCACCCCCACCCCCGAGGCCCTCACGCAAGAGAGGCTTGCGTACGCTTCTAGAAACTTTCAAATGTGCAATACAGTCACCATGCTGTGCATTATGTTCCCGTGGCTGATTTATCTCATGACTCTAAGTGTTTGCCTTGTGATTTCCTTTACCCCCTTCCCATTTCACCCACTCCCCATCTATTGGGGATGGCAACCGCCAATCTATTTCTGTATCTAAGTTTTTGTTCTTGTTTTTTTTTTTTTCTTTAATACACCAGTCTTTGTAGAGTCATCTCCTCTTTGGAGCTCTCCAGGTGAAGCCCCGATTTCCCCTCCTCTGTAGCCCCTGGAAATACTGACTGCATTTCTCCTTTGTTCCGTCTCCTCCCAACGGATACCTCTCTAATAATATCCGGAGTATTTTATTATGTGGACTTGCGTTCGTATAGACCCTCCTCTTGAGCGAACGACGGAAGTGGTGCAGAGATGACAAGGATTGTGATGATGGGGTTGGAGGGGCTGCAGTTCGGGGAACACGGCCTCCTTACGTGCCCAGCACCTCGCCTGGCTCACGGTGTATCTTCCACGGTGTTATTTTTGTTGTCCGTAATCTATCACATGTTGTTGAGGGGTCCAGTGATCTAAAATTTTGAGAAAAGGAGCTTGACTAGGTTTGACTCGAAATAAATCACCGGCGATCAAGTCACTGTTGGAAAACCGTTCCCGGCATGCCTTACTGTGAGGGTCAGGAAGGGAAATAGAATTTCCTGAGGATCTATTTTGGGCCAGGCTACTAATAGAATCTTTCCATTCATTTTTTAGGATGGTGCATATGAGCTTTTTAGATTAGCCTGAGCCTTTTAGAGCAAAAAAAAAAAAAAAAAGAAAAGAAAAGAAAAGAAAAGAAAAGAAAAGAAAAGAAAAGAAAAGAAAAAGAAAAAGAAAAAGAAAAAAAAAAAGAAATGGAGTGCTGTTTCATATTTTGTGCCAGTTTTTATGGAGGGGATAATTTTACGAATCACAAAGTAAATGTTTCAATAAATGAAAGGAAATAGAACCAAGACACACCCTGGTTGCTAAATTTCTTAAAATAGAAATCTTTTCATTTTTTAAAAAAAATTTTTCTTTTTTCATTTTCTGAATTCTGTTTGCCAAGTGTTTTGAAGAAAGGACTTCAAAATACAAAAAAAAGATGAGAAAAATTTCGTGCAAAGAGTAATATTGTTTATTTTTATTTTTTTAAAAGATTTTTATTTATTTATTCATGAGACACAGAGAGAGAGAGGCAGAGACATAGGCAGAGGGAGAAGCAGGCTCTCCCTGGAGGGAGCCCAATGCCGGACTCAATCCCGGGACCCCAGGGTCATGCCCTGGGCTGAATGCAGGCGCTCAACCGCTGAGCCACCGAGGCGTCCCTTAAAATTTATTTTTTTTAATAAGTAGTATTGTTAATATTTAATTTATTTAGTGCTCCTTCTGCGAATCCAAGGAAACAAATGCGTAGTCATACCAACTTTATTATGCCACCTTAAAATTTGCAGTAACCTCGCATGTCAGATTTTTAAGAATCTGTGTTTTAGCTCTTTGGACTTCACCCCTGGGAAGCAAGATCCTCTTCTCATTGTTTTGAGAAGGACCCCTAAGACCTGAGACATGCGGTTTTTCCGACGGCTGATTTAGATGTGATGTCGAGGTCTCTCATCTCTAAACCTTGACCTTTCTTAACTGGAGCCATGTACCTCGGAGCCTCCGTGGTTTATAAAGTATTGGCTCCCTGGATCCCTGGGTGGCGCAGCGGTTTAGTGCCTGCCTTTGGCCCAGGGCGTGATCCTGGAGACCCGGGATCGAATCCCACATCGGGCTCCCGGTGCATGGAGCCTGCTTCTCCCTCTGCCTGTGTCTCTGCCTCTGTGTGTGTGTGTGACTATCATTAATAAATAAAAATTTAAAAAAAATAAATAAAAAAAAATAAAGTATTGGTTCCCGGCTGTGGTTTTCCATCAGGCAGGCGAGCCACAGGCCAGAAAGCTGCCTAGGAGTGGCAAGTATTATCTGGCACTTTCTCGGTTCACGGCCCTTGCCAAGCGCTCTGAGGGGTAAAGGCTGACTCAGACGTCGTTCCTTCCTGCAGCTGTGATCCGCTGGAGCAATTCATCGTTGCACGGGAAGGGCCGGTCCTCCGTGTGCTCCCACCGAACAGCTGCCCGACCTCTACGAGCCAGGCTCTGGGCACTGGCTGAGCGGGGGGCCCGCAGGCCTTCCCTGGGGGGTGATCTACCCGCCGGCCTCCCCCACTCGCTGCCTCCCCAGC